AGAGAAAGTGACAGAAGAGTGGGAAAGAAGGAGAAAGAGAGACAAAGAGAAAGAGGATGAGAGAGACAGAAAGAGACAAAGAGGAGAGAGAAAAGGGGAGAGAAAGTGAAGGAAGAATGGAAAAGGAGAAAGAGAAGAGAGACAAAGAGAAAGAGTGAACCTAGTGGAAGAAAATAATGTTTTGGATTAGCATGAAGGAACTCTGTTCAACCCTGAAACTGATCATATGTTTCCTGAACTATACATCTCAGTAGTCCTAGTTAACCTGGCCAATGGTGAAGAATGCTGGGAATTGTTGCAGTTCAGCAACATCTGGAAAAGATGCCTATTCCTGTTATAGAATATGACACCATATATCTCCTGTCTACAATGCAGTCCTCTCAGCAGTTCTAAAACAATTCCACAACCATTTCACTCTGATTCAGGTGACCTTGAAGGCACAGAAAAACCTCCCAAGTCGCCTCAACAGCTCTCAGAGATAATGCTAATGACCAGATGACTGCAAAGAAATACAATGCTTCCATTTTCCCCACCATCCAGTTGCAACTGTCAGAACCTATCCTTCCATCCCCCACTATTTAGTCACAACCGCTGAAGCTTCTTGATGTGAAGCAAAATGTCATCTTCTTCTTCCTCAAAACAGTTCAATTGCTTTTTGAATAGCACCTTTGGGACAATTATGATCTAGATGACTAAGAATTTCCATAGACACCTGTTATAGTTGCTGAGTTCTCAACATTTAGTTTTTATGCCCCATCTGTCAAAAGTATTTGAAACCACCCAAAAACTCATTTTTCCTAGTGTGCTTTGCTGACTCGGTTCCACCACAAATGCGCGAACAACAAAAGCGCGCCTGACTAAACCGTGGTGACTAAACTGTGGTGACAAAACCGCGCCGACAAAACCGCACAACGAATGAGCGAAGAATGAGCCCTGAAGCGCGCCGACAACAGCGCGCCGACAGAAGCGCGCTGTAACCTAACCCTAAACCTAACCCTAAACCTAACCCTAAACCTAACGCTAAACGTACCCTAACCCTAAACCTAACCCTAACCTTAACTTAAATCGCGCTTCTGTCGGCGCGCTGTTGTCGGCGCGCTGTTGTCGGTGCGCTGTTGTGGGTGCGCTGTTGTGGGCGCGCTTTTGACATCTCGGTTTTAGCGCCGCGGTTTTGTCGGCGCGCTTATGACGTTTGCGCTTTAGTCGGGTCACGTGCTGACTCAATATGATAGGAAGTGTAGTCACACATATCTAAAAGGCAGCAGATTGGGAACTGACACAGGAGTTCTGGACATTATTTTAAAGTTAGCAGGCAATAGCTTAAATAAATATAGTTTTATCAGGAATCACATCCTCCTCAATTTCCCCAGTTGTTGGATGGTTTTTTGTAGGACATCCAGCCAGCTGCAGTTTTTCCTTCAGCTGACTACTGTTTTATTGAAGAGTATTATTTGGCAAACTTATATAAGCTATTCTGGATATTCAGGGACACTGATAAGCAAAGAATGAATATTTGTGTGCAGGCTCTAAGGAAAAATTGTTCCCAAAGACAATCCTTTGATTTNTTTTACTCTATTCCTAGCTCATTCGGTCTATGTGTAAATCAAGACTGCACTATCATATATCAGAGCTGATAACCATTTTGTGTTGTACTTATGTGGCAATTCTTGCAGTTAAGGAGGAACTAAGTTTATTTATAGCAGGAAAGGTATAAATCCTGCACGTACTATGATTTTCTGAAACCACCACATTCTACATATTATAACAATGATTTAATTTGGGGATTATTCTACAACTGTTTGGAAGTTGTCCCGGTAGCTTTACAGACCTCCAAAATGCAACCATTGGTGACCTAAATAGCTGCAGCATATTTAGCCTCTTTAAGGCTAAAACTCTTTTTTGTAAAAAAAATATCTACTGAAATATTTGGAAAACCTTAACAAACTTTAAAGTCACCTTCAAAGACCCTTCAGTGTCCTGAAAAGCTCTAGCAAGAAGTATTTTCTGGTTACGTTTTGCCAGGTTGCAAAAGGAGAAAGAAACTGCCAATAATAGAGCGCCTAAAAATGTGGTGTAGGATTCCTTTTTTCCAATTTAAATAATTCTCTTATATTTAGCATGAGACCAATAATCTAAAGGACACACACACACACACACACACCTCTATACTGCAAATTAAAAAAAAATCAGTCTTACCTGGATTTGTGGGTGACATGGCTGCAACCCAATATCCCAGCTGGGAGGCAATATAGGTCCACGTCAATCCATTTCCTTCTTGTTCAATAGTGCCTAAATTGCTTTTTAACCACGTTCCTGTAAAACATTTAAAGAAATTTGTAAAATGGGATAAAAAATAGAAGAGACAGAAACAAAGCTATATGACTATTATAGTATAAATGCATTGTGATTTTCAGATGCAGAAACTGAGTAAAAGTACAAGAAATCCCCAACTTAAAATGGTTCATTTGGTCACTATTCAAAATTACATGGCACTGACTTATGATCAGTTTTCACACTTACAACTGTTGAATCCACATGGTCACATGATCAAAATTCATATGCTAGGCAATTGATTCATATTTATGACGGTTGCAGTATCTCAGGATCATGTGATCATCTTTTGTGACATTCTGACAAGCAAAGTCAGTGGGGAAGCCATTCACTTAACAACTGGGTTGTTCTTAATAACTGCAGTGATTCATTTAACAACTGTGGGAAGAAAGATTGTAGAATAGGGCAAAACTCACTTAACAAATGTCTCACTTAACAACACAAATTTTGTGCTCAATTGTGGTTGTAAGTCAAGGACTACCTGTAATAATATCATCTATAAATTAAATGCTAGTAGTTTTCTTTACTGACCACCATTGGGTGTCTCAGTGGACTGCTTGAAAGGGGGGGCAGAAAAAATTATTTCAAATCCTTAATATTTAAGTTTTTTTCAATCCGTGGACCAGTATTCATGTAAGGATTGTGTGATATTATAGATGCTGAGAACAAAAACTGGTCCAGTGTCAGATTTTAAATAGTTTTTTACTTGGTGTTACAATTGCATTTCTAGTAAATTAACATTATCAAAAACTATTTGTATTATTTGGGAATACAAAGCCTACATCTCTCCAAGCTAAATGATGTAGAAATTTCAGAATAGACAATATCTATGCCTCTTTAAAAGCATTCTCCCCATTTTTGGAGGGAGCAGAGACCTGTGGATAGGGTGTGGGTAGGTATTTCAACACATTTTTTCTTCCTAACTTGAGGCAGATTAAGCCTTTCTATAAAGATATATCTTGCTTTCGACTTTCTTAATAGCCTTAATATACAAGTAGTACAAGCAACACATACACACACTGCATACAACCTAATCAAAATTTAGCAACACCTCTATTTTGATAAAATAAAATTCTTCCAGTGACTGTGAGTTATGATACATTTAGTTACAAGTTAAATGCCTGTTTTCTTTTACTAGTGAAGGCTGTGAGGATGCATGAACTTATCTAAAATCCCTTATGCTTCACAGGCTCAGATCCCACTGCATTTTGAATCTTTCCCCAACCTAATTATTGGATCTGCACCTCCCATAATTCCCAGCTACCTGAAGACAGTGCAGCCCCTACACATCTGGAGGACATCAGTTGCTCCTGCAATTTAGGGGAGAGGCTTTGTCACTATTAGCAGAGCAAGGGGCTGACTGGAAGAGGCATACACTGAGGACTGCAAGCAGTGTGAGAGAACAAAATTGTGAACACAACCTATACTGCACTTTATAAATCAGGTGGAAAGAAGAATATTGCATGTCTGTCTGTTTATCAACTAATTTCTTCACTGCCTATTTCCCCTGGTGTACAATTAAAAAATATAGTAGTAAAAAAGCAGTTAAACAAAGGTAAAAGGTTAATTAAAAATAAGTTAAAATAAATATATTACAAAGTTAAAAGAGATAGAGGGACTCCCCTGAAACCACCAACTGCCTCCAGAATCGCTAGCATTCTTGCTCCCTTCCCCTCTTGAATTGGTAGTCGGGCCTAGATATTCATTTCAGAAGGCCATAAGAGAGGTAGGGCTGCCTCATCTTTGGGGGGTGAGACATACTAAACCTCAAGAACAACAACAGAGAAAGTTCTCTTTCTGGATTCCATCAATTCTTTTTTAATGGATGAGATCTGTAAAATATCCTCCCTGCCTGACTAGATAGGATGAGTCAATGTAATGCACAATTAAGAGATATATTAGGAAAGCATTTTGTCCTTCGGTGCAAGAGGCAAATATCCTTGCATGTTTCTGGTGTAGAAAGTTTCTAAATCTTTTTGCGGGGCTGACCTAACATTTTCCACACACAAAGACTATGTTAATCTGGAACAAGTGCTATAGCCTCTATCTCCACAATGCTATAGGACTTCCAGAAGACTTCACAAACTTTCTCAAGTTTTTTCAAGAAAATGCAGTACGCATTGTTTTGCAGGATCTCCTCTGGAAGTGAAGGGCCACTTAGAGGGGGTCTGCCCCTTGGATTTATTCCTGGACAAAGCCAAGGGTGTATAGCACCTTGCCACAACCCCCTGATCTTTGGAAGTAACTCGACAAAACATGGTGACTTGCATTTCCCTCTTTCCCTGCAAATTAAAGGGAAGAAATAAAGAAGATGAGGAAAGGCACATGTTCTTCACTCCCTGGGAACAGCAACTGGAATACTCTGAGGGCACCATGAATATAATTCTGATTAACTGTAGGGTAAACACAATGGGTGAATGGAAATACCTTTAATTAGCCAAAGATATCCTATGCTTGTACCCGGAGCCTTAATTTAAGGGGAAAGTTATGCATAACATAGATTTCTATCTTTCGATATATACAGTAGACTTGTTTGAACTGTTAGCTCTCAGATACATCATGATCTAGGTATTAGTCACTTTAATGATAAGAAAGTAAAGTTGTATCTACTTTGAATGAACAGCTAATTGCTTAACTAATTAACTTGAATTTTGCTGCTCAGAGGTCTTCCCAGACTTAGGCATAGCCATGACTGTTTACACAACACTTCTGCTGGAACAAAGCAAAGTGTCTGTGCACATACACACATTTGGAGATGGAGATCTGGAAAGGCCCTTAGAGCAAATACACCAAATCTTTCAGAGGATACAATTGCTCCAATGTTTTGATATGAACTTCCACTTTGTCTTATGGAGAATTAATACAATCATCTTTTTTTGGACACCAAACTGATTAATTTATACATAGTGAATAAATTAAATTTTTATTCAGCCTAGGGAAGGGGTCAAACTCTATTCATTGAAGGCTGCATCAGGGTTGTGGTTGACCTGAGGTGGTTGTGGGCATGGCCAGGGTGGGCATGGCAAGGTTGACATGTCGAGGAAATGTCTGTGGTGGCCTGGGTGAGGCCATTGTCTTCAGTGGGAGAAATTAAGAGCAGATCAAACACCAAATCCTTGTATACAAGAGGAGCCTCGCCATCCCTCCCAGGTAACGTGGAGGACCTCCGGATAGCAATGCGGGATGCTCTGAGCCCTGGGCAGTGAAGAGTAAGCACCCAGTTGGCCTTCGAGTTCCCAGGGCATCGGGATCCCACAGCCCAGCCTTGCCCTGCTTCCCCAAAGGGGCTCCCAGTGAGCTTACCTCCTCCTCAAGGCTGCTGTCCTCACTCTGCTTGGCCACATTGCTCATGATGTGTACGGGACGATAAAGTATGTGGGTCAGAGGGAGGCCCACTCCTGCTCCTTGCGAAGAGACCCAGCTTTGTAACCAAAGCATTTTCAGAGATAAGATGGGAGGCCACCAGGAGAGTCAGGAGGAGGAGACAAGGGGATGGTAAAAGGGCAGTAGGGCTGCTGTTGGCCAAGTGTTAAGGCAGAACTTTCCTTAGACACTCCTCCCTCCCTTTCATTATAAACTCCTTCCTTCCTTCCTTCCCTTTCTCCTTCCATGATTCTCATTCCCATCTCTTTCCTTTCTCAGTGCTCAGGAAGGAATGAGGGGAAGGGGAGAGACTGGCAACCCTGGACGTGTGCACAGGAGATGGCAAGCACAAGAGACTTGCATCCCTGAGGACCCACAAGCTGACTGTTCTGAGTGAAGGAAGGATTTTAAATGTAAAGCAAGGAAGGAGGAAAAGAAATAATTAAACAAGGGAGGGAAAAAAGAAAGAATCCATGATAAGTTTAATCTATTCTTAAGCGAATGGCAAAAAGGAGACTAATCTTTTATACTTGGACATTGCGGCAGAAACAAATCAACTTTCATTCTTTTCCATGGATCACATAAGATGCAAAGCTACTGCTTTACTTGTTAACAGCTGGAGAACAGGAGAACCTGAGCAAGTGGGAAAGCAAAGAAAGCCTTGGCCTGGGAAGATGGAGCAAAAAGCTTCCGCTTGCAATTATCCCAACCTTGAACAACCTTGAACTTGCCTCTTTCCTATCTTAAGGGGAGGGGAAAGGGGTTGTAATTCCTATCTTAAGGGGAGGGAAAGGAGGGGATGCAATTACTGAAACCTCGGCAGAATGATCAACTCCACTTCCAGCCAGCTAAGAAAAATTAAAATTAAGCATTTTGCAAAGAACTGCTCTGTTCTTGGAAAAGGCAGCCAGGATTTTTAAGAATGGGGAAAAGGAGAAAGAGACTGCACCCTGCAGCAGAGAGTTCATCCAAGTGATTGAAACAGCAGAAAATGGAAGATTATACTGCAGACAGTCTGTTCCAGTAAGTAGCTCATCTGCAGCCGCTTTAGCAAATAAATTTAATTTATGTGACATTGGAATGGGATTTACAAACTGAACTTGAAAGCAAACAGCATGTAGAACTGTCCTCCTCCCTCTTGGAGAATGGTTTCCCTCCTTGGAACTCATCAACAGAAAATGGACATGTCTACATTTATAGATCTAAGCCTGCCCATTTGAAAAAAAATCATTCTTGGAGCAAGGGCAGAGGCACATTGGCAATCAAGATATAGAGGAGCAACAACAAGTTCTGCAACCCATGAGGAGAAAGAACCTCAGAACAACTGTGTTTATATGGGAAGCATAGATGATATCGACCCGGCTCCAACATCAAGATGACATCCATAATTTTTACTGGATAGCCAACCAACCAAGCCAGACCACCCTGCCTCTGGGAACCCCATACAGATGATGACCTGGAACATAGCTGGGCTGGAAAGGGATGATTGATAGACTATTAAGCTTTCTCCCTAGATATGATGTAATAGCCTTACAAGAAACCTGGTTAACATAAGTGGACGAACCAGTACAACTGCCAGGCTTTCAAGGATGGGCCTACCAGCCCAAAAAACAAATGGA